AGAATTTAATCTGTCGGAGGAAAAAGTTAATATTCGTGGCTCATTAAGTCACATGGAAGCCATCCTTATCACTGATTGTCGCAGCCTTACGAATTTTCACTGCTGATCAGAGTGGCAATAACAATCCTAATCATGTACCATGTATATTATTTAATTTAATTAGACCCACATAACGACATATGTGGGTTACAAATATTCTTATACCATAATCAATATGGAATGTGAACGTATGTATCGACAAGAAGTTTGAATACTAACAATACAAACAAGACCGTTTATTAACTAGTGGTGAAATCGTAACTGATTTTGTAGCACCAATGTGTAATTTTATTTACTAAAACCATAATGTAACATACCCAATCACTGTAAATATAATGTTGTATATTTTGGTATTAAAAACAGACGTAGTTTATTTTCCATAAAAGGAATTTATTAAGTTAAATTAAATTAATGAATTGGCAAACACAGGAATTATCTCCCTTTAAAGCGCCGAATTCAAACTGGCATCAAGTTATCTATTCCGAACGAAATAACCTAGTTTGTGTCGACTCGACACTCTCTCTCTCTCTCTCTCTCTCTCTCTCTGGGGCCACGGCGGCTAAGTGGGTAAGACGCTGGCTCGCTAGCCTGGAAGTCGCGTTTTCGATCCCTGCATTGGCCGAGAAAGTACATCGGGTTTTCCGACATGGTTTTCTCCTAAGTGGTGCACAGCAGAGGGCCTGACACGGACAGCTGTATACATGGGCGTGCACGAAAAAGATCCCTTGGTAGGGATTGTCTTCCGTGTTAAAGGACAATTGGTGTCAGTCATTATCACATATTATGTGATAGAACTGTTTATACACGTTCTCACAGTCTCATATAACAACTTTTTGTCTTCGAAGGATTTATTAGTGAGCAGAAAATCTCCGTGTTAGTTATAAATAGATATATTGTGTTTTCCTTTTGCGTTCGTCACTTCCCTTTCTTGAAAGCTCCATTAGGCATCTATCATAGCAATGATCTCTGTGTTAAAATTATGGCTGGAACGTGTTTAACCAGTTCTATCACATATGTGATAAAGACTGACGCCAATAATTTCCTTTATTTCAGATCTTTTTATCCAGCTCCAACTTGCCCCCAATTTTCGCTGGGCTGAACGTTTTTCACTACAGACAGCACAACACATGGTAATGTATTTGTTTCAGATTTTGCATGAGAGTGACTAATGCAATATTGAGATACACAAACTTGGACTAGCATACTAAAAGCCATACTAATCAGAAGTGAATATTCGCTAGGCCGCTACAATCACTGATAAGGATGGCATTGATGCGACTTAATGAGCCAGAAATATTAACTTTTTTCTCCGACAGATTAAATTCTAAAACATTTTTTTTTATGTATTAGAAAAATAAATAAAGCCGTTTGAAGTATATGTAGGTAAAAATATTTCGTATTTAGTGAAGTCAGTCATCTTTAACAGAGATATTAGAAGACTTTCTTTCGTAAACCTCTGTAAAACAGATTGACTAAAACTGACTAAAAACACCTAACTACCCGCTATATATATTCCCGTAACAACCCTTTTAACCGCCGTCTGTAAATCGGAAATATTTACCAACACCTGACAGAAAATGTTAATAAAAACCCTTTAATTATAGACAGGGGGGGGGGAATGGTTAGCGCGTGTGCATTGCATCATCAGGTCTGTTATTGAGTTAAGTGGCGTGGTGTCGATTCCCCGGTCGTGCATGGCAAGGAGTAGGGTCGCCTGTCCAATAAGCGAATTATTGAAATACAATTGAACCATGTATTAGTTCGGAAATGGACTAGTTTGAGTCGAGTGGACGTTAACCCCCCCCCCCCTCTCTCTCTCTCTCTCTCTCTCTCTCTCTCTCTCTCTCTTTTGTAGCACCATGAGTCTTTCTGTCTGACGTGGAGAGCGTCTATGGGGAACCGGTCGCCACATCCTACGTACGACCCATGCATCTTTTCTTACTACATATTTCTGTAGCCTTGTGATCGTCTAGAATTTGTCTCTAGCTGTCTTTACTTCTGCTTGTGTATTTACTTCTAACAGTTTCTTAAGACGTTTGTCTTACCAGGAATAATAACGCATAGTTCGCTTCTACATTTTATATAGCATATAACTGAATACAGGTATACAAGCATAGCACAAATTACAATACTATATAGCAAAAACCACTTCTCCACCCTATCCAGCCTCTCGGCTGTCTAGGAACTCAGATGTACCCTCGATCTCTGGAATCTAATGCAAGTCTTTTCCTAATATTTTGTTCGGCACTGGCCAAATCAACGGCTGCGGTGAACGTCTGCGGGTCGTCCCGTAAAATTTTTGTTTTGAGATTTTCGTGCTGAAGTCCATCTACAAAGAAATTAATTAGTTGCCTGTCAAATTCCCGCTGTCCGGCATATCCTGGGAATGCGTCAGCGGCTAGCGATAGAATTTTTTCAGCAAAAACTTGCACGTTTTCCTCGGGTTTCTGTTTGATTTTTGTTAATATTGCCAATGCTTGTTGTGTATCCGTAATTTCCGAAAAAGTACCAATTAAATCTTGTTTTAAAGCAGCCCACGTAACATTCTCGTCTGCTATCATTTTTCTTTGAATAAAATGACTCACAACCCCCCTACTAGATTGAAATGCAACTCACTAAGACACTTTACCCGGTCTTCAGGCACTGTGGCAAGAACACAGTATTTTTCGATATTTTTGATCCATTCCTTAAATAGTTTGGGATCCCCTTTATATGGTTCAATTATATTCGCTACCGAATTTGTGGAAATAGAGGAAGACAAGCCTATCAACTGGGCACCTAAATTTCTATAAAATTCCTCAGCCATTATTACAGATAGAAATTAGTGAAAAATCGAAAAAGAGATACTCACAATAATAATTTGTCTAATTCTATCTGCCTCTGGAATCACAGCACCAAATGAATATTATAGTACTACCGGACTTCTTTATTGGTTGTGTTTGTGATCGTAAATAACACTACAGTAATACTGATTTCCCAACTTTATTACTAAGTTGTACTGGCTTTCAGGTTCCTCGTTCTCAATGGTAATGACTGGTAAGAATTTCTGGGTGAGCTCTAATCTAGCTCTCCTCTACACCCTAATTTATACCCCCTACTTTCCCAGGTCTTCAATAACCTTGGCGTGAATTTCCACGCCATATAAGGAATAAAACTCTATATTTCCCACAAACAAAACAGGCAACATTACCTATTTTTGGTCAACCGACCATAGGTCAATAAACAGCTAGAATTTGATGACTATTTTGACAATGATTATAATTTAACTAAAACATCACTGTTTTTTACGAACAACTATAACCACGTTCATTTAGTACTTATGATTTGACTTTCTAGACCAAATTGAAGAGACAATTTTATAAAGAGCCAAAATTGTCTCAAGGGCCATAGTGCTACACTCTCTCTCTCTCTCTCTCCCTCCCCCTCCCTCCCTCTCTCTCTCCCCTCCCTCTCTCTCTCTCTCTCTCATTCTAGACCAAAAATCAACAAACATGACCATTCAAATAAAGAAACACATATCCCAATAAGGATATAATTAAATATGGATGATTCACAAACGACAAAATAATTTTTAAAAAAAACACGTGTTGACCTATTGCTAGCTACTGCCAACAATAAGGTCGGGCTCCCTCTCTCTCTCTCTCTCTCTCTCTCCTAAGATGAACGATTGAGTGAATTTATTTCCTTTAAAGATACGTCTCGAAAGTATGGCAAACTATTTATCGGTTGGTCATTTAAATTTAAAGAATGGGGGTTTGGATGGCTGAATGGTTAGCGTACGCGCGCTGTATCATAAAGTCTGTCATTGAGTCGACTGGCGTGGTTTCGAATCCCCGGTTGTACGTGGCAAGGAGTAGGGTCACCTGTCCAACCTCGTGGGTTTTCTCCGGGTCCTCCGGTTTCCTCCCACTGCTAAAGACCCCTACGCGCAAGCGAATTATGTAAATAAAATTAAACCATATGTTAGTCCCGAAATGACCCAGTTTGTGTCGAGTGGACGTTAAACCCCATTTCTCTCTCTCTATCTCTCATTTAAAGTATGGCAAACTTGGTATATATATATATATATATATATATATATGGAAAGTAGAGTCACTCAATCTTAGTAGAAAAATACTGGATTACCCGAAAAACACCCATGGGGCAAGCACTGGGCAAAAATATTAGGGTATCAATAACTGGCAACCCGACTGTTGTCTCTTGTGTACTGGCTTGACGGAGGGAGCGGTTATTATTTCTTGATCAAATGGTAAGGCGGTTTTGGGAACACTGAGGGGTGTCAACGTACAAAATACTCTGCAATTAAACGGCAGAAAAAAAAATTGAAAGAAATTAATTATGAATTTACTTAGACCTCTTAATATGTATGAAGTGAGGCGACAGACATGGCTTCTAACAACAGTTTAATTATAGCTTGAGGTGTCTCCCCGCGAAAACAAAATTTTAATTTTTGATAGATTAACTAGTTTGAATATCGTTTTAGTCCAAATATATCATCAAGTCACACAGTTTGTACGCGGGAAAGTATCTTTAATTTTTCGAATAAATTAGAAATTATGCGTAACCAGCTTAATGTATTATCGGATTAAACTGAAATGTTTCCTGGTTTTTATAAAACTTTCCGGCTTAATATGTATGAAGTGAGGCGACAGACATGGCTTCTAACAACAGTTTAATTATAGCTTGAGGTGTCTCCCCGCGAAAACAAAATTTTATTTTTTGATAGATTAACTAGTTTGAATATCGTTTTAGTCCAAATATATCATCAAGTCACACAGTTTGTACGCGGGAAAGTATCTTTAATTTTTCGAATAAATTAGAAATTATGCGTAACCAGCTTAATGTATTATCGGATTAAACTGAAATGTTTCCTGTTTTTTATAAAACTTTCCGGCTTGCCCGGTATTTTATAAAGCTTCTCCGTTTACAATAAATTCACACAATTGACCAGAAGCGTTCAGTTGCCAGATAGCGAGGGTAGGAGACACAAGTCCAACAGAACACTGAACGTCAGATATACACCACTCGTACCAGCTGATGTATAAATAATAAGTATATACTGTCTTGTGCACGACAACCTTCATCACTTATATAACTAACAATATCGAGACAGTTTGAATGTGGACTTGCTATTACGGAAGATTCTTCATAGAAACATTATTAGCTAATCCTATACACATTGCTTAGAGAGAGAATTTGGACCTGGGAAGGCGAAGATTCTGGGTAGAAGGCAACTGGGGAGACAATCTAGATTTAAACTATTTAGAAATATTATTGTTTTTCATCCTGTGCGAGAAACTAGACGCAACAGTAACATCTACAATGTATATAAAAATGATACCAGCTTTGTTATTGGTTGCTGTGATGAATCCAACCGATGGTGCCACGCTGAACCCTGTCATAATAGGTATGAAAATATAAATTCCTTGCTTTAACTTCATTTATCTGGACGGAGGGGATTGACAAGGACAGCTGTCTAGTCGTTCGGATGGTACGAAAAGAAAAACCGAGGTCCCGTGTATACATTGGCGTGCACATAAAAGATCCCTTGACAATTGGAATTCGATATAAGAGTAGGCCGTAGTGCCGCTGTCCGGCAAAGTTTCCCTCATAGTACACTGTCCGGTGTATGCCCATCTTCATTAGCCAGTTCTACTGCAAAATAAAATAAAATGGGGTTTAACTGCTCCGACTGGGCTAATGAAGACGGGCATACGCTACACAGAGAGCGAGAGAGAGAGAGAGAGAGACGGGTTTGACGTGCACTCAACACAAACCATGTCATTTCGGGATCAACATACGGTTCAATTTTATTCCAATAATGATAGACTTTATGTTACAGCGCGCACGCACTAAGCATTCAACCATCCAACACCCCGTAAGCCTAGACAACTTATTATTATTATTATTATTATTTGTAGTACCCGGTGATGCGGGTAGTCGGCTAGACGCAGTGTTGAATAAAACAAGTGTGGTACATTATTTATGTCGTAAAGAATCCCGTCTCTATAACATCTGGATAAATCTACTAGAACTCATCCCGCCAGTTATAGATTGTTTCATAGATAACTTGAGGTACGTCACAAGATAGCCACGCTGTTCACGTCATCTAGTTCACCAGACATGGTATCTAGTCGCGATTCACTAGTCCTAGGATTTAGATGGAGTTCACCAGACATGGTATCTAGACGCGGTTCCCCAGACCTAGTATTTAGATGCAGTTCACCAGACAGGGTATCTCGACGCGGTTCACCAGACATGATATTTAGACGGCGTTTATCAGGCATGGTATCTAGACGCGGTTCACCAGATATGACATCTAGACGCGGTTCACCAGTCATGGTATCTTGTCGCGATTCACCAGATATGACATCTAGACGCGGTTCACCAGACATGGTATCTTGTCGCGGTTCACCAGACATAGCATCTGAAAAACGACGCGTTCAGCAGAGATAGCATCTGACAGGAGATTTCCCTCAAATTTCAGCAAATTGAGCCCGGGCAGCGGCGTTTTTTCGTCAAATTCCAACCTTTTTTGGTTGTTTTACGTGAACGTCAACAAGTACACAAGTAGACGTCGGTTGCTCGCTTCTTTCCTGATACTACATGTCTGGCTTCAATATCCCGGTCGGTGAACATATTAATTTTTCTACGTCATTATTTGTAGATTAGTATATAATAACGTGACTCGAACATCCAGTAACAACCGTCATTATTTGTAGATTAGTATATAATAACGTGTTTCGTACAGCCAGTAACAACCGTCTTTATTTGTAGATTAGTATATAATAATGTGACTCGAACAACCAGTAACAACCGTCTTTATTTGTAGATTAGTATATAATAACGTGACTCGAACAACCAGTAACAACTGTCATTATTTGTAGATTAGTATATAATAATGTGATCGAACAACCAGTAACAGTTGCCATTATTTGTAGATTAGTATGTAATAGTGTGACTCGTACAACCAGTAACAGTTGCCATTATTTGTAGATTAGTATGTAATAGTGTGACTCGTACAACCAGTAACAACCGTCTTTATTTGTAGATTAGTATATAATAACGTGTTTCGTACAGCCAGTAACAACCGTCTTTATTTGTAGATTAGTATATAATAACGTGTTTCGTACAGCCAGTAACAACCGTCTTTATTTGTAGATTAGTATATAATAATGTGACTCGAACAACTAGTAACAACCGTCTTTATTTGTAGATTACTATATAACAACGTGACTCGAACATCCAGTAACAACTGTCATTATTTGTAGATTAGTATGTAATAACGTGACTCGAACAACCAGTAACAGTCCGTCTTTATTTGTAGATTAGTATATAATAATGTGACTCGAACAACCAGTAACAGTCCTGGTGTAGATATCTATATACCTGGTTTTGGTGATACCAACACGGTAGAATATTTAGATCCGTCTATCCAAGTACTAGGTAGGTCATATGATATTTATATAATAGGTAATATCACCTTTCTACACAGGTAATTAACACCAACTTAATTTCAAACTTTTTCCGAGACTGCGGTAAGTTAACTTCTTACTAAAAGTGGGTGGAACAAACCTTAGAAGCGGTGCAGGTCAAAGTCGATCTCAGTGGGAGATGAAGTAGTAGTGCAGGTCAGTGGGAGCAAGAAACAAAGCACTATTTTGAAAATAATCCCAAAATTAAATCCCCATAATAATAATTATAATAATTTATCATTTATATAGCGCCGAATATCCAACACAAGTGTTGCTCATTGGCGCTACGGGGATGGGTGGAGGGTAGTTTTAAGGCAACACAACGGGGTTGGCCGAGGGGGGGAGGATACCTTTACAGCAACACGACGGAGTTGGCGGGGGGGGGGGGTACCTTTAAGACAACACACCCAGGGGTCAGCAGAGGGCGAGGGGGGTGGCGTACCTTTAAGATTAATTTTAGGTGTTTTCATATAAACACCGTTTTTAGATCGCTAAGAAAGCTTGGCCACAATATACAGCCGTTTTGTTATAGAAAGATAAATCTAACCCAGGGCCCCATTTGGTCTAATCCCATTAATGCTCCTGTTTTATTTCATATAACTGTGTTATATTAGCTGCTGGATATTTTGCTAAAATAGTAAACAGTTTAACGGAATGGGGTTATGTCAGAGGTCAGTCTGTCAGAGCAGCACCGTATGATTTTAGGAAGGCACCAAGTAAGTCAGTGTAATTACTAAAACAAAATATCGTTATTTAACAAAAATTCTCTTGAAATGGTCAATATTCTCAATGTTTGTCATAGATTGGTATTCCATCTTTGGTGCCGCGGTGGCTCATCAAAGTTATAATATAACCACATTAGCCCAGTCGCTGCAGAATAATAGGACTTTAAACCCCATTTCAATGATTAACACTGCATATTAATCGAAGTTAACCTTTTGTTGTGTCCTCAGAGATTTAGCTCCTTTAAAATAGGACAAATCTTTAGCTTAAGGGGGTTGGAACCTTTCTTTACTTATATAGGCCACAATTTTTCGGCAAAAATCACCTGTCCTAATTCTCGTGAGCTTGGCAAATCTGCAGGTGGCATTGGTAAATAGATCAGACCCAGCAATGCTTGATAGCGAGACTTGCTTGGGAAATTGATCGACGTCATTAGAACTTTCTGCTCCCGCCCAAATTAAACAGGCCTTTACTCTATACGATGGGTAGATATCGAATGAGGCAATTCGCTCAGAAAACTAGAGATATTGTTTTGGATTACGAAATATGACGTCGATGCTTTCCCCAATATGACGTCATATGGTATCCATGTCATGCTATTTTTAGAAAGATTTAATGTTTTCCAGATGAAATGGGTGTCTACTTTATAAGATTAAAGAATCTGATAGAAGACACATACATAATGAACAATAACACTCCTGTCGTTCTACTGGCTCATAGTCTTGGTGGATGTGTGAGTCTATATTTCTTGAACAACCAGTCTCAATCATGGAAAGATAAATACATAAGTAAATACGTCACAGTTTCAGTACCATGGGGTGGAACAATTAAATCTCTATTACTCTTCACGTCAGGTAATTAACACCATTCTATCTCCATGGTAACTATATCGATCAGTATAAATCTATTTCCATGGTAACTATATCAAACAGTATAAATCTATTTCCATGGTAACTATATCTAACAGTATAATTCTATATCCATGTTAACTATATTTAACAGTATAAATATATCTCCCTGGTAACTATATCTAGCAGTGTAAATCTATCTCCCTGGTAACTGTATCGAGCTGTATAATTCTATCTCCATGGTAACTACATCTAGCAGTGTAGATCTATCTCCATGGTAACTGTATATTGCTGTATAATTCTCCATGGTAAACATAAATAGTAGTACTCTTCTATGTCACTGGTAACAATGGACACGGGTTATCACTATTACGTGAACCATTAATTAGACTTTTATTTGCATAACTAGCCAAAAATCAACTACATAGACCCTCTGCTTGGATACAGTTTGGATTTAAATAATTAAATCATTAAATGGGTGAACAAGCTAACATTTGCCGTAAATCACTAACGTCACTCCCGGAGACTGCCGATGAAAGAACTGATAATCGAGGGTACCGTAGGCATTGAGAATGTTACTTGATAATCGAGAATATGTCCTCGTCTGTCAATCAAATCGGAGACGGCGCGGAGACACTTGATGCCTATTTATAGTCCAATCTTCGTTCAGAAGGAAGTGATCTGAATGAAATTTTCAATATGTTCTTTTTTATCGTCTATTTTAGAACTGTTATATCAAGAATGGCCAACTCTTTATTAAACTCTTAACTAATGTATGTTTAATATATACAAGTTATGGATCTATTTGTCACACCCATGATTAGTATTTTTTTAACTTTCCTTTAGTAAAATAGATCAATAACTGGTGATTAACTGGGCTGCCCTATTCAGAATATTTTAATTAAATTCAATTAATCTGTTTAAGTACAAGGAAATGTTTATTTTTGTATTTTTTGGTGTAAAAACATTCAGAAAGAAACTGTGACTAACAAGGAAATAAAAAATTAATATTTCACATAATAGTAGGATTATTGGAAATCGGCAATAAGACGTTGGCTCGATAACATGGAGTTCCCGAGTTCGATCCCTACGTTGGCCGAAAAAGGTCATGGGGATTTCCCGCTGTGGTCCCCCCCCCCCATGTCAGTGGTGCAGAACAACGTATAGTCGTTCAGATGGGACAAAAAAACAAAGCCAAGTGTACACGTTTGCGTGCAGGTAAAAGAACTCTTGACAGTCCGAATCGGAATAAGAGCAGGCCGTAGCGCCACTGTCCAGACAAAATGTTCATCTTGACACACTTAATTATCCCAGTCGGTGCAGAAAAGTAGGTTCCCGTTAATCCCCATTTCATTTCAAATTAATATGCCACGTGGCGGACTCCCGCTCTATGATTTCTTCTTCCGAAGCCCGCAGAGGGTCGCTCGGCCCTCAGAGCCCACTCTTCTCCCGAAAAAGATCCCTTGGCAGTTGGAATTTGATATAAGAGTAGGCCATAGTGTCACACCCATTGCAAACTGTATGGCGTATACCCGTCTTCATTAGCCCAGTCGGAGCAGAATAGTAGGACGTTAAACACCATTTCATTTCATTTCACTTTACCTGGCTACTAGTTCCCCCCCCCCTTACCTATGTCTTGAAATAAGGACATTTTTGCAATTATTCCTTCTATCACTATATTTCAGGTTATTATTTTGAATCTCGGCGCATGCGCAGACTAGAGAGAACCATGTCCAGTTCTGCCTTTTTAATGCCGTCGGACAAGTTCTGGAAATCGGACGAAGTTCTGGTGATGACCCCTTTCAAGAACTACACCGTCAATGATTATAAAGAATTCCTTAACGATTTAGACCTGGACTCCGCCTACCAGATGAGAAGAGACACAGAGCAATTGATACGAGATCTGAAACCACCAGGGGTCGCTGTTTATTGTGTGCATGGTCAAGACATTCCAACCCCCCACATGCTGGTCTTTGACTCAGATCGCCACCGATGGCCGGACGATCATCCACGGTATGTTTTAGGCGATGGTGACGAAACGGTCGGTGTCCGTAGCTTGACAGGTTGTCTGCGGTGGGTGGGACAACAGCAACAGGACGTAAATCACCAAGTGTTTCCAAAGGAAAAACATCTTGCGATATTGTTCGGCGACTACTTTATTGATTATCTCAAGTCAATCTTGTTTCAAAATAACTAACTTCCGGTGAGCTTTATCACGTGATCTGAAACAGTGTTATAGAAACCTGTTTAACATATTATTTGTATACTTAATTTTAACTACGATATACTAATAAAGGGAGATAACTATCTTTTCTGAACCAGAAACAAGCTGATTAAAATACAGATCTATGTTTCGTTTCGTTTTTTTATACTTTCGATGGCCTACACTACATGAAGATCTGACCGGTTGTGGCAATAGGTCGCGTCAGAGGTCATACGGGTGGCTTTTGACCCTATGACATCAGATATTTTATTAACTAATCAGCATTGATGTTACTAGTATATTACCCACAGTTTCGTGCAAAACACGCATAAAGCTCGCCGTAACAAACCGTTTCATTGGCTAATCCCTCACATCATTCAAAACACATCAATGATAACAACTCTTCCAGATCCTGGTGTAGTAAAGACAAGTAAAACGAAATTTTGAACTATAAAAACGAATCGAAATAGGATCTGTGTTTTAATCAGATTGAACCAGAAAATGAGGTTTTATTTTATTTCAATAAATTCATTTATGCCTATACTAGAGTTAGATTTAGAACTCACCCCTGATCCAACTTCACGTCGTGTACAATTGTTTATGGACACCTGTCAATCCGTTTCACAGAGAATTGCGAGTCTTTTCATATCTCTGTAAAAGATGACTGCCTTTAACACGTGCCGTCACAGCACGCGGCGTCAATCATTGGCTGAATGGCGAGTGCATTGTTTACATAAGACGTTACTGCTTCGGGCAGAATGCTGCCTTTTAGTCATTTTAATAAACATTTACACTAAATAGTAAATAATTTTTACCTATAAATACGTCAAACGTCTTTATTTTTCTAATACGTCAAAAAATGTTTTTGAATTTAATTGGAAAAAATGTAATATTTGAGACCCATTAAGTCGAATTGATGTCATCCTTATCAGTGATTGTAGCGGCCTAGCGAATATTCATTGCTGATCAGTGTGGACACCTGTAACTACCATTTGTAATTTCGATTTTTCGCTCCGTTAGAACGCGAAAGTCGAAAAGTCGTAAAATACAAGTTACGACGACATGTAAGGCGATAGCACGCACACAAAGCAAAATTCAGCTTGAAAATAGGGAATTAAGAAATAAACACACCGCGATAATAGCGCTCATCGTTTTCGACTTTCGTACTGTTATCGTGGTCGTTGCCGTCTTCCCAGGTTTAAAAATGAAATGAGGGTTTAACGTCCTACTGTTCTTCTCAGACTGAGCTAACGAAGGTGTAGAGAAAAGGGGTTTAACGTCCACTCGACAAATCGGCCCCTTTTGTCGCGACGCAGGAGCGCCATCACGTAGTGATCTCTAAAACTATTATGGCCACTTCCGCCTTCATTTCTATCGGGTTTGGAGCTCAAAGTACGGCAATAAACTCGCTCTAACTTGACTGAATGAAAAATCTAACATACCTTTCGACTTTGTGGAATAACAATCTATAATTCTACTGATCTTTTTTTTGAAAATCTTATCGGATTCCTGAGAACAGATGTAGGCCTATTTTCTTCATGATCACCATCAAAACATTGAAGAATCCATTATGTCGTAAATTTTATGTTAATTAGATTGCCATTACTTAGATTTTCCTTTTTCTCGCTGTTTTATTGTCGATTTGGGATGATACGAATATTTAGTATATATTAAAGACGTCTCTATTCATTTGACCTCATTTGACGTTTAAACCTATATAATGTACATGAATTTTAGGTACTATATTTGTTTTGCGGATGAATACAGCTGTTCTGTAATGCTTAATATTGATCTGTAACATTAAGAGTTAAGTGGATTTATCTCCCTTTCATGATTAATAATAATGTTCTCATGAGCCGTTTTTTTTTTCGGCATGAAGCCTAAGTGCATTATGTGTATCTCCCCTGTTGGGAGCTATGTATACTATTATATTTTCTTGCTTGACTGTCATTTGGGTTTTGTCTCTTTGTTTGCTCTGTACCATGTCCCCTGACGACCCTTGATTGGAAATAAAGCTATTATTATTATTATTTATTATTATTGTATTCTGTTGTAGACTGAAAATTTTGGATCCATGTGTCGACGCTTTAAATCACATGGATCCATTAAACCTTCTAACTGTTTAATTCCATTTTTTTCATTGAAGATTCTTACATTACAAATCTTTCCTTACACTAGAAACGTAATCACTGGATACAAACTAGGCCATTTCGGGACTAACATATGGTTCAATTTTATTTCCATAATTCGCTTGCGCGTAGGGGTCTTTGGTAATGGGATGAAACCGGAAGACCCGGAAAAGACCCACGGGGTTTGACAGGCGACCCTACTCCTTGTCACGTACAACCGAGGAATCGAAACCAAGCCAGTTGACTTAATGACAGACCTTATGATACAGCGCGCACGTGCTAACCATTCGGCCATCCACCCGTTCCCACCCCGAGCTAACGCAGACGGGCATACGTCATACAGTGTGTAAAGAGGGGAATACAGCTTGGACAGCGGCGCTATTGCCTACTCTTATGTCGAATTCCAAATGTCAACAGATCTTTTACGCCCTTGGACATTCTCCACCCCCCCCCCCCCCCATTTAGAGAAGGTACCCCATGTTAAATACACTAAAGACAACTGTAAACAAATTCAAATATTTATTCCCTACGACTATAAATAAACAGTTTTCAAGTCCAAATAACTAACGGTAGGTAGACCGACTGGAATTCAACAGATTCTGGCAATACAGAGCTGAAAGGATAACAATAAATTATACAAACACTAACAGCGTGCAGTTAAAGTCATTTGGGTCTGGTTAGTCCTGTCTATACGTTTATCTCTTTTTCGTTTTGTCGTTGGTGGATCAACCATTTTTAATTACTTCCGCATTGACTTGTGGGATATATTTGACCTATAGAATTGTGACCTGTATCCTCCAGTCCAATTACTAAATGCCATTTAAACAGTTTATATATTGGACTTGTGGGATATATTTGACTTTATTCATAAAGTCTACTCGTTACAAATCGAGTACACGGCGTCGTGTACTGGTTTTACAATATCTATTGTGTCTTAAATATTTGATATTAGGGGAATCACATTTTCACGGCAAGACAATATCAATATTTTGCCCCGATTCACTTTAATCCTTCGTGGTAATCGAGACTACAATATGTCGAACTGAAGGTATTGCCATTGGGGGAGGGGGGAGATAGATCTTTTTACCAAGGTCACCAGGAGATTTCCTCAAGGTTACGGCAATACAACATCAATACTGAGTAAAATGGACCGATATTGAATTCTAGTTCATGTTTGTGGAGAATAATGAGTTAGAGTTATGCGTACTTACTGTTGGTACCATCAAGATCCAACTCAAATAAAAACGGCCCTTTATATAATTCTGATGGCGTCAGTTTACCGTCACCTGAAAGTGTATGGAAGAGAGAAAGAAATGGGGTTTAATTTCCACTCGACACAAAGTATGCTATTTCTGGACTAACATATGGTTCAAGGGGTCTTTAGCAGTGAGAGGAAACCAGAAGACCCGGAGAAAATTAACCCACACAGTTGGACAGACGACCCTACTCCTTGTCACGTACAACCGGGTAATCGAAACCACGGCAGCTGAATCAATGACAGACCCAATGATACAGCACACAAGCGCTAACCATTCGGCCACCCAACCCCCGTATCGAATAGTAGCATATATTTAAAGGGGAAGCAGAACGAGCTGAATCAAGTAAAAATACAAGAGAAACCAAATGAGTAATTTAAAGACGTCGTGTGAGATTTTACTGCCATTGAAATAATGGTACGTCACCAATGGTGACTCACCATCAAAGGATGACGTCACATCTGTATTTTAATGTCATATAATTCCTTACAGTCTTTTCAAAGTTGAATCTCTAAAAGGAATACAAGTCTAAAAATGGCTCATTTCTGTTTAATATTCACAAAGGTATGACGAATTGAAAATTCCACTGATTTACAGGGCTACTGCTCCCTACGGGAAGCGGCTTCAAAAAAGGCATTTCAGCTCAGTCACGTTGATCCTTTGTGGTAATCGAGACTACAATATTGGGAACTGGAAGTATTGCCATTTAGATATTAGATCTATTTACCAAGGCCATCTACAGATTTTCTCAAGGTCACGTTATGTAAACAGAGCTAAAGCTAATCGAAATCCAAACCCAAGACCTAGCCCTAAGCCTTACCCTAACCCTAACCCACAACGCTCATCAACAATCATCTGCCCCCTAACCCTGTTTACATCTAGTGACCTTGAGGAAATCTGCAAGTGGCCTTGGTAAATAGATTTGACCGCCATTTTGAACAACCAGGTAATAGCCTAGACGTGCGCATGGCTCACAAAATAGTCACGTATGGATTGTTTCAGCTCCCTCGAGATGTAATGTAAAAACAGAAACTCACCGTTTTTATCTGCTATGTAAAAGGCCTTGTTGAAATCATCGTTCGATTCGTCATCGTTTATCGCGATACCAAATTCTTTCTTTGATACGAAACCATCGTCATCTATATCAAAGGCATCCAAACGATTGGCTAGTGGAATCACGTGACCTTGGGTCGACTGAAAAAAAATGAATACAAAGTAAATATCTGAACAACACATGACATGCGCATGGTGGATAAGATGTTTCAAAAAGTGGCGAGAAACACCACGGATGGATGGTTAAATCTTTTTGTTAAGGTCAGCTCAATTTTTGATAAGGTCGCTGAGATGTAGGGTTAGAGTAAGCTTTGAGGCTAGGTCCAGGGTTAGAGTTAGGGTTGGGATTAGCGCCAGCTCTGTTTACATCTGGTAAACTACGACGAAAAATTGAACTGGCCTTATCATTTAGCACTAACCAGTGATGGATGGAGTTGGAATCGGTGTGTATGGTAGGTTCGGGCGTACCTAGAAACACCAGTGATGGATGGAGGAGGAATCGGTGAGTATGGTAGGTTCGGGCATCCTTAAAAATGTGAAAGTTCTCAGACCATATTTTACATGTAATAACGAATATGCGTCATTTTTGATAAATCAATTAGCAAAGCAGTTTCAGGATATTCTCTGGCATCACAAAAATATTTAAAAGCACGGTGGCGCTGGCTAACTATTTAGTTTGCTTTCACAATGTCAGTGGTGGCGTCCTGTCAAGGAAAAGGGTCTAGTACTTCGTATGGTACAAAAACCGGGATGCACGAAAATGAACCCCTGATTGTTGAAATTCAATGAAGAGTGGGCAGAAACGCCGCTGCCCTGGCAAAATATCTCTATAATAGAACACTGGATGATATTATGCCCGTCTTCATAAGCCCAGGCGAGGGAAAAGACGGACATGGCGGACTTTTGATTTAATTCACTTACGTAAGCGATGTGTCTTTTTTGTCGACCACATCCCAGACTACAGACCAGTTTACAAACAACCGACCCGATTGGTCCGTCAAATATTTTACAGACTTTAGGACAAACGATAGGGCAGAATTTATCCAGTATGCTTCTGAAAAACCATCCGCCATCTGTCAAGGGCAGATAACTCATCATCAGAACACATACCACTAGAGAGGTCTTCATTTAAATCTGAAAAGCAAAAATACATGACTTTAAAATAATATTAGAGCCACAATACATCCATAACATTAAAAATTTAAAGGAGCTAAATCGCTAATATTGACACAAATGGGTCGTAACGCATATTAGTTAGGGAGCTAGGTTCAGGTTGTTTCGAAAATCGCGTACAAAATTTCTACTATGCCAGATGTGTGGGCAGCGGTGTCTGATACCGTGAACCTCGATTCTTGTGTTGCGGGTCCCCTTCCCGTGGGGGTGAGGGGCCCTACAAAACGTCGAAATTTTGCGTTTTATTTGACTTGCGTACAACGATCAACTTTCGTGCACAAGTCGACCAGCATCAGATGTCATCAAAAACACTACTTACGAAGACCCCCGACCCCTCATTCGTCCCTTAAGAACACCCCCTTTACCCCCCCCCCCCGCGGTATGCGGACGTGCATTACCCTGTTGGAAGTGCTGAAGTTGTGGGTGCGCTCGAAACATCGGAACAATTGGTTGCAAGACATCATCACGGTAGGCTACAGCATTAACGCGACCCCTGCAAATGTGTAGGGCGGTCCGGTGATGAAATGTGAAGCCTCCCCACACCATTACACTTCCCCCACCCCATCGATTCGTTTCGAAAACGCAGCAGTCTGCAAGACGTTCCCCAAGACGTCTCCACACACGTTGACGTCCATCAGCGTGATAAAAGATGAAAGCGACTCTCATCACTGAAGAGCACACTTTGCCAGTCTACTCTTCTCCATGTCTGGTGTCCTTGAGCTCATATCAAACGCCGCTGACGGTGATGATCCCTGGGGATAGCTCCAACATAAGGTCGTCGTGCACGGAGTCCTACTTCTCTTAGACGACGTCTTACGGCGTTGGCACTGGTCCTTGTCTTCCGACGACTGCTGCACCTGTTCAAGTCGCTGGGCGGAATCTGTTACGCAGATGAGTGACCCGGATGTAGCGGTCTTGAGTCTGGGTTGTAACGCGTTGTGGACCAGGACGTTGACGGTCACGTGTTGATCCAGTAACTCGAACACGTTCCACCAACCTTACAATAGTGGACTGATGACAATTGAAGTGTCTGGCAATAGCACGTGTAGACATGCCAGCCCTGGACATTCCCATGGCTTCATTCCGTTGATTTTCAGTAAGTCGCGGCATCTCTAGCTCGATTCCTTCACACGTCCAACAACAAATTACGACAGATTGACGTTTCACATGTCATGTACTGCACATTAAGTTGAAAACATTCTTTTAAAGGGCTCAAACACAATGCTGCACGTGAATATTTGGTTTTTCATGTGCATCTCGTGCAATTTTTTTTTTGTGCACACGGGCCGATATTTTTTGCGTTTGGGAGCATTGTGTGAAACAATAGTTCATAGTATTGCATAATATTATACATACAAAACCACCTAGTAATAAAATATTTTGGAAAAAAGTGATGGTTTTCCATGGCGCTCAGTATATAATACAATATACAATAATATGACAATTCTTTCTTAAGTGCGCGCACTGAATACATTATGACGTTAAAGTCCACCCATCGGCAAGACAATACATCGACGATACCATTTATCGGCGACTATTCATAGACGATACCATTCCAGAACACTGTTCAATATTCATCGACGGTACCAGCAGTGATTTAACACATCATCTATTAGTAGGCACATAAACGGGACCTGTAAAATTAGTCAACATTTCTACATGAATTTACTCATACTAACAAAACATACAACGATGAGTAAAATACACGAATCCTGCACAGAGGAACCCAAGACACCAAAGTTAAAGGACAATATTGGTGCCAGTCATTAACACATATGTGATAGAACTAATTAAACACGTTCAAATATAATTACAACTCAGAGATCATTGCTACGATAGCTGAGTTATACAGGATTTCTGAATCGGAAGTGACGAACGCCAAAGGAAAACACGAGACATACCTCTATATAACTGGCTGAAGTGCCGACTGATAACAGATACATGGGCGAATTTCTGCTCACTAATAATTCCTTCGAAGACTAAAAGTTGTTGTGTGAGACTGTGAGAGGATATCTAGCAATTTATAAAAAGAATTGACTGCCAGTGGATAAGAGAACACGAAAGAAAAACAAAAAAAGTCCGTACATTACTATGTTTTTATAAGGTAGGGGAAAGCGAGGTTAGTCCGACCCCATTCATATCTCGCGCCCACTCGGCCAAACCTCAGAAGATTCCAGTACCCTACATCTAGCCTCGGCTGTATGACGAAGTCCGCCATTGGGACTACTTTCAAGTTCCGGATTACCAACGCCGTTGCCCATGACGAGGCATTTAAAGAATGTTTTACCATACAAAGATTTCAAAGTCTGAAGCTGTTTTTCTTTCAAGTTTATCCTATTTCCTTTAGACACGGACCAGTTTGAACTGAAAAGTCTACATACGCTTCGAACGACGCAGTTTTGAGAACTTCTTTCTAAAAGCGGCAAGTTTTCCTAATAATACCCCCGTCAGACCGGGGTAGCGTCCTTACTTCGCTGCTACGGCGATGGAAAATACTTTTAGAGCGCGTTAAGATCGCCATAAGCGTATTGGAAACGCCACCTATCGTGCGGTAGTCACCAAGGTCGCCAATGATCGCCGAGTCACCGCGTTTATTTTGAGCATGTTCAAAGCAAACGCCAAGGTTCTGCGATATGAACTGTAAAACTATGAGAATACGACTTTTTTTTCAAGTTTGTAGTTTTTGGGGACATTTTCGCGCGTTGTGTTCACGTTTGCCGGCGACCTTGTGCATTTTCTTGTCGCCTTACGGTCGCAGCAGCGCAGTAAGGACGCCACCCCGGTCTGACGGGGGCATAAGTAAACCGGTGCCGTATCGCAATTGTATAGGCGTAGGTACATATCACTTACTGTCATACAGCCGAGGCTTGATGTTCGCCCATTCGGACATGGTGACTTTGAGATGAAATTAGTTGTATACGCCTGCCAATAAAACTATTTACTGTATGCTGTAAATTAGCCAACTCCACTGTCTTTAATCTAGTATGGTCTGCGGCAGTGGTTCTCAACATTTTTGTGCCAACGGCACACCTTGAAACACATGAAAAAACAGCGACACACCCGACTTAATATATATGAAAAATATTTGATTTTTTTGCAAAATAAAAAACATGGCAAATCATAGACGGCATACAACTGTAGCCACAGACTAGTCATAGACACATAGTATGGCTCAAACTAAACGGCACAAATAGGAAGATCACACGGCACACCTGTGTGCCGCGGCACATTGGTTGGGAATCCCTGGTCTACGGTAACGTAGCTTCAAATGGCGCGAACTAGCCCCGCTCTCCCCTATAGAATGAATATAAACAAGGGAATGTACGGACTATTTCTATTTTTCTCGTGTTCTCTTATCTAATGACATTCAATTACTTTATTGAATTGTCAGCTATCCTCTTACAGTCCCATATAACAACTTTTGGTCTTCGAAGGAATTATTAGTGAGCCGAAATTCGCCCATGTATCTGTTATCAGTCGGCACTTCAGCCAGTTATACAGAGGTATGTCCCGTGTTTTCCTTTGGCGTTCGTCACTTCCGATTCGCGAATCCTGTATTACTCAGCTAAAGTAGCAGTGATCTCTCTGTTAAATTTATATTTGGAATTTGTTTAACCAGTTCTATCACATATGTGATAATGACTGGCACCAATATTGTCCTTTAATAACATAATAATTTCAAAACATAATAACTTCACTCACCCAAGTACCCGGTGGCAGTATCGAGTCCTCCAACTGTCATAATCCATCTCCCAAACAAGCCAGATTGAAAGGTTTTTACGTGCACGTGCATTGAAGGTAGACAGTTTGGGCTAGCCACGCGGCAGAGTTTGGGCGACCGATAGTGATGCTAATGAAGTGACACGCATATTTCTTTAACACATGACAATGTTGAATGCTAACAAAGTTGGGTAACCACCCACACAGAATTTCGTGGCAATCGGATCAGCCGTTTTTGCGGTATGACGAGATGGACAGACCGACATGTGGTGAATTATAGTAATATAATATATTATATAGAAAGAAAAGTACAAACTGCGGGAACTAAACGAACAAATAAGACTAAAAATATAGATCTGTCTGAATCAGAATGGACATCAGGAGCTTTCAGGGCCATCAGCTAAATCATCTCCAAGCTCTGAGAGCCGCTCTATAATACTCGTGTTTCCTCCTCTTCTTATCCGAGATAGAAGTGGATTTCGCGTTCTTAAGTTAGTGTTACGTTCTAGTGCACCAATAGTGAATCTTTTAACGAAAAAAATAATGTTGTACGCGGAAGTCGAATTAACTCATCTCCGAAGGGCGTAAAGGGGGCGTTCTTAAGGGGCGAAGGAGGGGTCGGGGGTCTTCTTAAGTAGCGTTTTTGATGACATCTGATGTTGGTCGACTTATGCACGAAAGTTGATCGTTGTACGCAAAAGTGGAATTAAATCGTCATTTCACCCCTGGGCCCCCCTTTTTGTCGTTTTTATCCGAGATAGAAGGGGATTTCGCGTTCTTAAGTTAGTGTTGCGTTCTAGTGGACCAATAGGGAAACTTTTAACGAAAAAATTAATGTTGTACGCGGAAGTCGAATTAACTCATCTCTGCGGGGGGTAAAGGAGGCATTCTTAAGGGACGAAGGAGGGGTCGGGGGTCTTCTTAAGTAGCGTTTTTGATGACATCTGATGTTGGTCGACTTATGCACGAAAGTTGATCGTTGTACCAAAAGTGGAATTAAATCGTCATTTCACCCCTGGGTCCCCCTTTTTGTCGTTCTTATCCGAGATAGAAGGGGATTTCGCGTTCTTAAGTTAGTGTTACGTTCTAGTCGACCAATAGGGAAACTTTTAACGAAAAAACTAATGTTGTACGCGGAAGTCGAATTAACTCATCTCTGAAGGAGGTAAAGGGGGCGTTCTTAAGGGACGAAGGAAGGACCGGGTTGTCTTAAGTAGCGTTTTGGTGACATCTGGGGTTGGTCGACTTATGCACGAACGTTGATCGTTGTACGCAAAAGTCGAATAAAACGCAAAATTTCGACGTTTTGTAGGGCCCCTCACCCCACGGGAAGGGGACCCGCAACTTAAGAATCAAGGTTCAGAGTATCAGACACCGCTGCTTACACAACTGGCATAGTAGAAATTTTGTACGCGATTTTCGAAACAACCTGAACCTAGCTCCCTAACTATATAATAATGTAATAGGAATATATATAAACTGATTTACATTCAATCGTTTCTGTTTTTACTTTAATTTCAAATCAGCTATGTGGAATATGTCTAGCCTCGTCGTACTTCGAATCCTTTGTTACAAATGACGCTGAAAGGCATTATGATACACGATCCGTGTACCAATTGTAAAATGTTTATTTTGTCTTAAATATTGAATATCGGAAGCCCATCTTTTCCGGGTAAGAACACAAGACCAATGTTGTTTTAAATTGATAAATAATTCGTGCTTTCAATGGATGACTTTGGATGATATTGAATTAGAGACCTAGCTACTTTATTTTAAATCTGCCGGGTGCCGCAGTGGCTCGCTATAGCAAACATGGAGGTTTTGGGTGCGCTCCCGGATTTGGCCGAGAAAGTTTCTCGGCTCGGGATTTTGGGACATGGCTTCCCAATGTCTGTTGTGCAGAACGGAGAACCTGACAAATTGCAGTGTCTAGTGGTTCGGATGAGACGAAAACCCGATGTCTCGTGCACGCAATAAAAGAATCGTTGAATTCAATGACGAGGCCGGTAAGTTTTTAACGCGTTGTCCAGGCAAAATTTCCCACATAGCACACCGCATGACGTATAGTTTCGTAAACATTTCCAAACGCGCAGGATTCACATAAATAAAACTTGGTAATTTATACCATCCAGGGTTGTTTCTCGTTCATGCCAATGTGTACCGTGGTGGATATCGGGTTTTTATCGTTCCGATGGATAAGACAAAGTTTTTCTTCTCATACATTTGAAAATAAAAAAAGTCAGTAGTCTTCTCTATAATTAATGTCACCGACCGCCATTTTGTGGACACTATCTCATTTTTTTTCATGGCTAAATTCACTCAAATTAATTATTTAAGATTTAATTATCTCAGCTTGGATCAGTCAGATTTAAACGATTTAACCATACACTGTAATTATAAATGCTACTGGCTTGTTTATGAAATGAAATGAAATGGGGTTTAACGTCCTACTGTTCTGCTCCGAACTGGGTTAATGAAGACAGACATACGCCATACAGTGTGCTATGAGGGGAAATTTTGCCCGGGCAGCGGCACTATGGCCTACTTTTATATCGAATTCAAACTGCAATGGGATCTTTTACGTGCACGCCAATGTATACACGAGGCCTCGGTTTTTCGTCCGTTTCGTCCCATCCCAGCGACTAGACAGCTGTCCTTGTCTGACCCTGAATTCTGCACCACTGACAAAAAGAAACCACGTTGGAAAATTCCGATGAACCAATGCAGGGATCGAACACGCGAACTCCAGGCTAGCGAGCCAGCGTCTTTTTTTTCTTTTTTTATAATATTTATTCACACAATATACAATGTACAAAATACATAATACTATTTTCATTCTACAAGAATAATTTCACAGGATATTTACAGTTTAAAAGATGTATATATAAATATACCCATACACACACACCCACCCACCCAAACACACACACACCCACACACTCATCTTAAATAAAAACACTTAGCCACCGTGGCTCCCGCCTGTTTTATGACGCCTACAGAGGATTTGTGTTACAAAATTTTCAGTTCATCATATTTTTGTAAATACTGAACGGAAATTAACGATGTACCTTTCAGAGATTCATATTGCAGTTTGCAATAGATTCCAAATCTCTGAAAAGAAGGCAAAATGTATTTTTTAAAACTTTCTAAAACAAAATCAAACTTACCAAATTGTTATTTAATAATCACTGCGCTACGATATTTTCTGTCAACTGCCGCTTTTCATTCGGTACCGTTTGTTTATTTCATCCAACTGCCGTCATGGAGGGGTTTTTTTCTATACGAGAATGAACGAAATAGGCTTCGTGATCAGTTCATCCTTTTTCCCCCAAACTAAAACCAAAATTTGTCTACAGTTTAAAATATATTTACCCAATGTTTACCGATCAACAAATTTAAACTCAGTTGAAAGTCAATAATCGTGAAATTATTTTGAAGTCCCGTTGGAATGTAAAACTGTTTTCTTAGCTTTGGTTTTTTATAAATTGAATATAAATATCTCCTTTTGGTATGTATTTATGGTTATTTTGAAATATAATTGAAAGAGATTTTAAAGATGAATATGTCTCTATGATGGATGAATGGGATTAAGTTAGATTGAATTCTGTTTGTTTTGTGTTTAAAACAATACCCAGGTTTAGAAACAAAACGTGTCACGCGAACAGCTTAAAGCCGTATTCACGCTGTCGGCTTTTTGTCTGTTGGTTGTAAAGTCGGCTGTACGTGACAAAGAGTAGGATCGCCTGTCCAACCTCGTGGGTTTCCTCCGGTTTCCTCCCACTGCTAAAGACCCTACGCGCAAGCGAATTATTGAAATAAAATTAAACCATATGTTATCCCCGACGAAATGACCTAGTTTGTGTCGAGTGGGCGTTAAACCCCCTCTCTCTCCCTCTCTCTCTCTCGTTGTAAAGTCGGCAGATATCGACTTTTGTCGCTCTGAAATCGCACGCTGTCTATGCGGCAATCCCGAACCGCCGCTTGCAACTTGCCCGGCTATTCAGCAGTAAATATTCGCGTGGTTGCTATTATCACTGGTAGGGATACTATCGGGGGGGGGGGGGGGTAATGAGGCCTCAATATTAACTTTTTTATTTTCTGACAATTAAATTCCTAAACCTTTTTTTTTTTAAATTATTATTAAGAAAATAAATAAAAGTGTCCGAAGAATATGTGGAAAAAAAGTATTTAAAAAACCCAGTCAATTAAAAAGGGCATCACCTATATGTATTACTACGCCAAATGTAAATAGAACAGACGTGTGGCGATCGATATGGTGGTTTAAACTGTTTGTTACAATGAATTCTTTAATCTAAATGACCTACCTGTACTCGTTTTAAAACAACTTTGAGTTACTTTCCCAGAAAAGTATTTATCGGGTGGTTATTTCCAATAAAAGTATGTCAAAATTGGTATATATGGAAAGTATAGACATCTAATCTTACTAGAAAACTATTGGATTACCCGAATAACGCCCATGGGGCAAGCACTGGACAAAATTATCAGGGTATCACTAACTGGCAACCCGACTGTTATCTGCCAGCTTATTGTGTGTCAGCTTAAGTGAGGGAGCGGTTGTTATTTCTTGATCAAATGGTTAGTCGGTTTGGGGTACATTGAGGGGTGTCAACGTACAAAAGACTCTGCAATTAAACGGCGGAAAAAGAAGTTGACAGAAATAATTTTAATAGGCATCAATTCTATGGTAAATGTACAGTAAGTAATGATAAATACATTTACAGCTAAGTTGACAGGCATTGCGTCTAACAACAGCTTATAACTTATAGCTATAGGTATCCCCGGCGAATACAAAGTTTTGAGAGTGAATTGAAGCAAATTTTTGATAGATTAATTAGTTTGAATATGTTTTTAGTCCAAATATATCATCAAATCACAAAGTTTGTACGCGGGAATGTATCTTTAAACACCCAGCAGCAGTAAACAAATAAGACACTATTAATGGATAATAATTACTATGGTTTATTTTACTGCGACGTTTCAACAAGATTTCACAAGTCGTTATCAAGCATATAACACAATAAACAGGCCCGTAGCTAGCCCAAAAATGTTGGTGGGGGGACAAGGAGTTCTTGGTGCGGCAATGGGGTTTCTGGGTGCCGCCGATGGGGCTTCTGGGGGCGCCGATGGACCTACAATAAACGATCCACGTGGTCTTCGACCAGAAAATTTTGGAAAATAGAGTTTGCACCTTGGGAGAGGAACAATGAAAATGACGGAAAAGTCCAATTTTGAGTCTGAATTTGCGATATTGGTGTATTATGGTATTTTGATATGAACATCATAAAAATTTGAAGGAAGGAATACACATTCATTCGTGGGAGCCTAACTAATCTCACTCGGCATTATGGGCGCTCCACAAATTTTATTATGAGCGATCATGATCTCGTCGTGGTCGGCCAATCTCGGCTTTATTGGCGCCCCTTATTGTAACGGCATGTTGGGCGTGGCGTCCATAAAACCAAGTGACATTGTTTGGGCGCCCCACCAATCTCGTCGTGGACGCCCAACCAATGTCAGTCGGCTTTATAGGGCGCCCATACTGATATTGGCACGCTGGTCGTTGGCTTCGTATTGCGTCCAGTGGCGCCGCCCCCCCCCCCCCTCCGCTTACTTGTCCGCGCACAGATGTTGTCGATCGCTTCAAAAAGTGAAAAAACAACATGTGTGCTGAGCTTAAAAACTGGAGATGGGGGTCATAACAGTGTAAATATAATTCACTGACATGTATACAGGTTAAATCGGGTCCGACTTACAACTATGTGACAAACGTGTAAACCCGGCATAAATTACCCCATCGTGAGAGAGAGAGAGAGAGAGAGAGAGAGAGAGAGAGAGAGATGGGTTTTAACGTCAACTCGAAACAAAGTAGGTCATTTCGGGACTAGCATATGTTTCAATTTTATTTCAATAATTCGCATGCTCGAAGGAGTCTTTAGCAGTTGGGGAAGGGGCGGGGGCGGGGCTGGAGAAATCCTACTCGTTGTCATGTTCACGGTTAGGAGCAAAAACATCAGTCTGATTACAACACAGATCCTATTTCGTTTCGTTTTTTATAGTTCAAAATTTCGTTTTACTTGTCTTCACAACACTAACATCTGAAAGAGTTGCTATATAACAGGCTTTCTAGTTGATGTGAGGGATTAGTCAATCAAACGGTCTGTTACGGCGAGTTCTTGGTGTGCTCTGCACGGAACTGTGGGTAAAGCCCCGAAGCGTCAACGCTGATTGATTAATCAATGTCTGACGTCAAAAGCCCCTCGTATGGCCCCTGACGCGACCTCCCAGTACAACTGTAGGCCACCGTAAGTAGAAAAAAAAATCGAAAAGAAATGTATATCTGTATTTAAATCAGATTGTAAAAACATGCACCAATTAATTTGATGACAGATCATAGAAGGTAAAGCGCAGGCGTCAAAACATTCGACAAACCAACTCCCAATAACAGACTTCATTAGCCCCTTTGTCGCAGAAAACGAGGATTAATTAATTTTCATGACATCGGCAATTTTCATCCAGGTATATTTATTTTATCCCCCGTGTGATTCTATTTTTGGTTTCTAGACAAAGGTGTGTTGTGTTTATTTGTGAAGCCTATTGTACACAATGACCTTCACATAATTTCTCAAGGCCAGCCTTCACATATCAGGCGTGGTGTCACGTCTGCCAGGCTGACTAACAAAAAGTCACACCGTGTACACATTAAAGATACATAATGTAAGATTTAGATAAAGAGCTGACCATTCCTACTATAATATTTCAAAAAACGATAATCTAAAATGAATATATTGAAATTTTCATTCAAATTACTTCATTCTGACCAAGTTATCACTATTTGTAGTTTTGACAAGATGTGTGCATAGTGGTAACCAGGGCTCTCGTACATTCGGGACTTAGCCTGGCTTTCCCATTTTTAAATTAAATTTTTAAATGACGACGTGTTCTAATCTAGTTAAAATCTCGAGTATCCTATGCCATCGACAGTTGATTATGGTCTTGTCTAATTAAAGATACATTGAGAAGGGTTTTTTTCTGGTTTCAGATCTTATCTACATCATCATTTAGACATTTATTAACATGACAAGTCTATAATAAACTCGCTAGAACATCGGTTGACGAGATTTAAAATTTAACGAAATGAAATGAAATGGGGTTTAATGTCCTACTGTTCTGCCCCGACCGGACATACGCCATACAGTATTCTATCGCTTCGTCCTACTCTTATATCGAATGCCAATTGCCAAGGGATCTTTTACATGCACGCCAATGTGTACATGAGACCTCGGATTTTCTTCCCATAAGACCGAGAGAGAGCGAGAGAGAAATGGGGTTTAACGTCCACTCGACACAAACTAGGTCATTTCGGGACTAACATATGGTTTAATTTTATTTCAATAATTCGCTTGCGCACAGGGGTCTTTAGCAGTGGGAGGAAACCGGTGGACCCGGAGAAAACCCACGAGGTTGGACAGGTGACCCTACTCCTTGTCACGTACAACCGAGGATTTGAAACCAGGCCAGTTGACTCAATGACAGGCCTTATGATACAGCACGCACGTGCTAACCATTCGGCCATTCAACCCAGTTGTCTTTGTCAGGCCCTCTGTCCTGCTCTACTGACGAGGCGAAACCACGCCGGAAAACCCCGATGAACTTTTTCGGTCAACATCGGAATCGAACCCGCGGCCGCCAGACTAGTGAGTCAGCGTCTTACTCACTTAGCCACCGTGTCTCCAAAAATAAAACCAACAAAAAATAACGATAAAATGGATAGTAGAGATTTAGTCTTGGGGGTTGGATGGCCGAATGGTTAGCACGTCCTCCGGTTTACTCCCACTGTTAAAGACCCCTACGCCCAAGCGAATTAATCAAATAAAAATTGAAGCATATGTTATTCCGAAAATGACCTGGTTTGTGTTGAGTGGACGTTACCACCCCAACCCCCCCCCTCTCTCTCTCTCTCTCTCTCTCTCTCTCTCTCAAAATGACAGCAGTATTTCATTGACTAGACGTTAAACCCAAGATAGAGAACATGTGTAATTAGCCGGGAAAGTTTTCTAAATTTAAATATGCATTCCGTGAAACAAAATGTATTCTGGCGCCAGGGCTGAGAGCAGTTAACTGGTTAACGGATGAATGAGATTAACGCGTTTATAGAAATGAATTAACATTCTGTGACGTCATATAGGCATATTCGGCTGAAAATATAAGTTATACAGACCAGTGAAAGGTTCCAATTCATGATATATATTAGTCAGAGACCACATTGCCACTGTCGCTTTAGTTACGTCTGCCGGATCGCATATCCCCGGTCGCAATAACTTGGTCTCTATA